TATAAAAATCAAAAGGCAGTAATATACACAGTTTCCCTAAGTGTGGTTAAAGCCCTGAAAACTCCTAAAGAACTCATGAAGCCCGTGCTAGTTTCACATTACTCACTTCTGTGCACACTGTACACATCAAAATAGCATGTCGTCATGTACTGGTTACCAGGGCATTGTGAGATACAGGGGAACGTTTTGGCTGACAAGCTGGCTGCTTCTGCCAATGACACTACTTCCAATGCATCAATACCAATCCCTGCACTTGTCTTGAAACCTTTTCAAAAACGAAAGCTCAGGGGGTATTGGCAGAGCGCGTGGGTTAGACACACAGACAATAAACACCATGCTATTAAGCCGCAACTAGGAAATTGGCCGCCACGATCAAAATCATGACACACAGAAGTAACACTTACAATGCTAAAAACAGGACATACGCACTCTACACATTCATATCTTCCGTCCACCGGTAGTCTACCATTTTGTGAGAGATGTGGAGTACCACTTGCGGTTCTCCACATTCTCGTCCAGTGCAATAGGTTGGATCCTCTAAGAAAAAAGTACTTTTTCCTGCCCTACCGACAGCCGCTCCCACTACACCCTGTGATGCTCATTGGTAGGGATATACTTCTTAAACTGCAATCGCTTTTCACGTTTTTAAAAAATGTTTATAGCTTTTAAGGAATTTTAAGGTCCCTTTACAGCCACCTATCATGTCATTGTACATATCTCTGGTCTATTGAAATGGCGCTCTTTGGCCATCAATTGGTCCTTGCGCCAATAAATACCACTCATGATCAACCCTTAAGCTTCGTCTTCAAGAGTTGAACGCGATAGTGAAATCCGGCCCCTAGTGCACCCTTCAACCCCTAAGTGCATACTTATTCTTATGCATTGTTACATACACATGCAAGCACACTAACACACACACAGTAGATTGGACCAGCGCGCGCTATTATTGCCGAATGGGCTCGTTTTCGTCGAGACACCTGTCGAACAAAATGTGTTCCAGAGGCCCTGAAACACTTTTTCGAATAACCATAGAATGAATTCACTAGAAGAGCTTATTGCCTGACGAATTCAACACCGCAATAATTTTGAGATTTCGTCCAGTGTAAGTGGAGTTACAAAGATTTGTCGCATGCTGTAATTGCGTTATCTCTTCTCTCGTCCCGACGAAAGCACTGGAAGCTAAGCAAGGAGGGGTGACGGGGCAAAGAAACTACCATGCCTTGTGACCTTGAGCACATTTTTTTTTCTTCGAATGTGCGGCTTTTTCAGTGATCGCGCGCGCATGCGTGGAGAAGTAGCGGCCTTTCCCGGCTATCTTGATAACTTAATTTTTCCGTCATAGACTCACAGACGATTTTTAGCTCAAAATCAAAAGGGCCGACGACAGCGGCGGGTTTTCCGCAACACGAGCTCTTTAAAGCTATCGCCTTAATACTAAGAGCGAGAGGGCTAGTGTGAATGCGCACAGCACTCTGCCTGGAACGCGCCGTTCACTTTTTGAAAGGTCGTCTGCTACGCAAGAGCAACGTAGGTTACGCCATGTTTGAAAAGAGAGTGCGAAAGAGAAGAGACAGAACGAGAGCAGAAGTGAAAAGTGTCGCTACTTTATGAAGTGATAGGGGCTTTAGCCGCCACATGCTCATTGCGCCATCTTGCTGATAATGCTGAAAACACGATAGTTCCCCCCTCTTCCCAAGAGGCCTGCCAACAGCGGTAAGGGGTAGATATGAATAGCTTTGCCATTTGAATGTTGAAGCTGGTACCTCTGAGTGGCTCAGTGTTTAATGCCTCGCATTCACAAGGCAGAGGTCCCATGTTCGATTCTGCGTGCCGGAGTCTGTTTTCTGGGATTTCTTTCTTTCTTCATATTTATATATATAGATACGTATACATATACGGTGAATGACACCGATGCCGACGCCGAGAAAGAAATCCAGCTGGGAGTGTCCATATACGTGCTATTGCAATAAAATCAGCAGTAAATGGCCAATTTGTAAATGATCAGCAGTAAATGGCCAATAAGCTTGTGGACCTTGCACCTCAGTGTTCGGTTCATTGTGTGCAACTAAGGTTTAAAAATACATAAAAAATTTTGAAATTTCATAAAATCAATGCCTAATCATAATTTGTGGTGTTACCTCACCCAGAGTTATCTATTGAGAACTTATAATAACTCAAACTTTTCGATAATTCAAAAAAATTCAGAGGTTCTTATGAGTTTGAATTAATGAGAGTCGGCTGTATTTACAGAAATGCAGAGAGGTTGGCCTTAGTAATAGTGTGCTCTAGCCTGTTACGTCCATAGTTAGTGGGTTTAATTTCATGACTCTCTGCACTTCCTGAAAGTAATGGAAGGTCATCTCATTCATCAGCCCATGTGTGTCGTTTTTCTTACTGCTTGTCCTTTCATGAATTTTTTTTACTAGAAGGTCGAGGTATGGACTCCCGGCCTCGGCAACTGCATGTTTTCAGAGCTGACATGCTCGAGGCTTGTGTAGGTGGATTCAAGTGTACGTTAGGAACAATAGTCGGTCTAAATTGCCAGAACTCATTACTACGGCATCTCTCGTAATATGTATTTATTTATTTTTATTTATTTATTTCAAAATTATTACCAGCCTCTCATATCAGGTCTTAGGCTGGGTAGGTAATACATAAATATAGGCACAGAAAACTACAAAAGAAATGTCACACTGAAAAACTAATACCGTATAAACGCGTGTAAGGGCCGCACTTTTTTTTCAAGAAATGAGGGCCAATTTTCAGGGTGCGGCCCATACACGCAACGTGCAATTTTTTTTTTTTTTTGAAGCAAAAGAAAAAAACGTACCAGCTAGCGAACGAAGAACGTTTCTTGCAGCATACAGCATATGTGCTTAATCGTCGTCGCTCAACGAGTCCTCAGACTCGGTGTCCGAGATGGTGTGTTGCGGAGCACCGTCCTCTCACAAGCAGTCATCTTCCGCGCCATCCAAGCTGTTTGATATACCGGTGACTTTAAAGCTTCGGGTCACAACGTCCGTCGAGACTGAGTTCCACGCCGACAGTACCCAACCGAGAACAGCCGCAAGCGGTGCCCTCTTCAGCCGTCCGGTCGGCGTCTGCTCGTGGCTGCCGCTTGCCATCCATTCCGTGTAGAGCCTTCTGAATTCCACCTTAAAAGGTCGATTAACGCTGACGTCCAAAGGCTGCAGCATTCCAGTGAGGCCGCCCGGAATCACGGCCATGTCTGTGCCGACACGGCGCAGCTGTTCCTTCACCTTATCGGTAAGGTGACCGCGGAAACTGTCTAATACTAAATGTGACCATTTGGCTAACAGCGCTCCTGGTCGGTTTTGCTAAACACACTTCACCCAGTCGAGCACCAAGTCATCGTTCATCCACCCCTTTTCTTGGGCTCGAACTATGACTCCCTTGGGGAACACTTCGTTCGGAATTCTTTTTCTTTTCAATACGACGTACGGGTGTAGCTTCCGCCCGTCCGCGGTCACACAAAGCATCACTGTGCAGCGTTGGCGCTCAGCGCCAGTGGTCCGCACGGCGACGCTCTTTTTGCCTTTCAGTTCGACTGTGTAGTTTTCCGGACAGTCAAACCACACAGGAGTTTGATCTGCGTTCCCTATTTGCAACAGTAGATAATTATGTTGATGGCGAAGGCCGATGACATGCTTGTGAAAACTAAGCACCTTATCGGTGAAGTCTTCTGGCAGCCGCTGGCACAACGTAGTCCTTCGCCGAAAGGAGAGATCCTTCCTTTTCAGGAATCGTCGCACCCAGCCAGCGCTAGCCTTGAAAGTCCCGGCTGGTATATTCTTCGCACGTGCCAAGGCTAGTGCCTTCACGCGCAGCATGTCTGTAGTTAGTGCATATACATCGTTCTGCACTTCTGTCACGTAGCGGAACAACTCTTCTTCTAGTTCCGGAAACTTGCATGGCTTTCCTCGGAAAGCGCGCTTTTTGCTGTTCGTGTTTTCCAGAGCTTCCTTTTGTGCACACCATTTTCGAACACACTTTTCGTCGACGTCGAATTTTCTGCCGGCGGCACGTTTCCCGTGCTCGAGCGCAAACTCGACCACCTTTAACTTGTAGCCAGCCGTGTAGCTATTCAGGTGCTTGCCCATCGTGCTACAACGTGAACGCTCGGCAGAAGACAAGCACGAGAGACAATACGGCGTGCACAACTCCTACAAATGGCCGGCTGAACTGCACAAGTTGGTGATGCTGATGCCGATATCGAGAGCGCGTTTGTATAGTGGTGCGAGGCACGAAGGATAAAATCCCGGTTTAACCTTTAGGTAACGAGCGTATGAACACTAATCAAATAGTTGAAATATTTAGCAAACTTTATGAACACCTTAGCACGAAGAAAGTTAAACAAAATATACTAGTGACGCACCTGTAAACCACGGTAAACTTTGATAGTGATGATGATGGTTGCGTTTTTTCGCGCCATCTATTGACGACGTTCAAAAGCTCGCATGCACGCGCGCATTTTGAATACGTGTGCGTTAATGAAAGTGTGGGTGCGGCCCTTACGCGAATTTTTTTTTTTTTCGAATATGTGCGTCATAAAAACGGGGTGCGGCCCGTACACGGGTGCGGCCCTTACACGCGTTTATACGGTAGATCAAATGAAAACATTGGCACTCATACACTTCAGAAGTTTTAAGCATACACGCCCAAGAAAGAGACTGAGAAGGAAATAACAATAAAGCAATGATGACAAACATCTATTTGTTGAATGCCTAACATCTGAAACATAAACATCATATAAAGGGGGCAAGATTAGCATTACCCATACATGTTGATGACTCGGGTAAAGGTAATGTTTGACGTGGAAACATTTTAAGTACATACGAAAAAGGGACATAAAACCTCACTAATTATCTTATCGTGAGTAGTTATCAAGTATAAACAGTCACGAAGATCTATGCACAGTATGCAAAGATTCATTGGGGTAACGCACTCTTCATGTGGCGGGTCATCTTTTTCACCGACAGTACCCAACGAGAAATGCCCGGATGGCAACAAGTGTGACGACGAGCAGACATGCTGCCAGCTGCGTAGTGGCTCGTACGGTTGCTGCCCCTACCACCATGCGGTCTGCTGCGACGACAAGGTCCACTGTTGTCCAGAGGGGTACAAGTGCGACGCGAAGGCCGACAGGTGTATCAACGGGAATCTAACCGCCTCCCCGATGAGCCGAATCATTCAGAAACGCATCAGCAGACCCGCAAACAGGATCCTTGTGGACGGTAACGTGTAGTTATAATACATTAGAACGTGTAGCAGCTGTACTAATGGGATGGTTGCCTTGCAACGGTTTGAGACATATTAAATTTTGCCACATGTTGTTAGAATTGGCCTAATTGACCTTAATTGGCCTAAATTTGTCTTAACTAGGGTACTGATATGGCACACCTGTAGGTAAATCCAAACTCTCCTTTGCCAGAATGGTTGCCAGCTAGACAAGGTTCGTACTTATTTTGGCTCTGGTTTCTTTGATGACTTATTTGGTAAATAAGTCATCAAAAAGTGAAAATAGGTGCTTTGTTTCCAAAGTCACTGCCTTGGCTCAGTCGTTCGTTGTTCAAATTTTCATTCGTGCGACTGCAGTCTCAGATCTCTGAATCAGTGTAATGCATAGGAACTGGATATCAGCCTTCTCTTACGGGACAACGGCAATATCAGCAGACGTGACGGTTCTGCTATACTGGCATCAGTCTCATGATGGTGTGAAACGTTGGTTGAGAAGAGTCGCTTTTCGGTCGCTAGGAGCTAATGATCGTGTGACCATGCGGTACCAGTTGCGCGAGGAAATTTGCCTTATATCTTCAAGAGTATAGCTTTTTTTTTTCTTTGCGCATACCTGCCAGCCTGTTCACACAGTGGGGCAGAGGAGGGGGGAAGATGTGATAGAAGAAGACTGCTATACATATTAATTTACTTTTTCTATTGGTTGCAGCAACGTTATATACGATTATCAGAAAAGATTGTAGACGTCGGCGACTATAACAACACTTGTAGATATATGGCACGTGCAGCTGCTGTGCCACTCGAAAAAAAAATGGAGTATTCGGGGAGTAGTTCTGCTACACAACAATAATCGTCATCAGACTTGCTCGCATTTCTTTTTTTGAGAACCTTGCTTGCCAATTTATTGTCGGGAATGCTATGTCACACTGATAACTCGTGCGACGTTCGGGACCACGAACGGCTGAATCGTAGTGATAGCGTGAGGAAAGTACTCGAAGTAGACGACAATTATTGTTGTGTAGCAGAAAAATTTCCCAAATACTCGACCTTTTTTAGAGTGATATGTCCCATAACATTTAGTAGCTTTATGTAAATCATAATGTGCAATATCACGTGTCACTAGTGTACTGCGGCAAAAGCAAAGTAAGTTGCGTTCTGCACTTGATCAGAAAGTCGAAGATGCGATGTCTTTAGTTACTATTAAGGCGAAAGCTTCAATTAAACTGCCAGCATGAACAATGCCGATGTCAACACAAGTGATGCAAAAATCGCACAATATCTCTCTGCATGATGTCATCATGACTTGAGGTCACACAATGACATCATTGCTTGGCTATACGTTGCCATATCCGGAAATCGTATAAGGTACAGAAGGCTTATAATTCCTTCGATAGGCAGTGAGAAACAGCGGTAGGTGCAGAAAGCTTTCAGGGGGATGGGGAGTCAATTCAACCGACTGGTAGAAAAAAAAAAACAACAACAGAAGATTGATTTCACCTTTGAGCCATGTTAGGAGGGGACTATGTGAGTTTTTATTTTCTGTTCACAGTGGTGCTTGTGCAGCTTCTCGGGAGATGTATGGCCACGCTGTGCAATCAAGGAGAATTTTGCGAAATTCGAATTTCTCGGGCAAAGCGAGGCAGTTCGCAGTGATGCCTGCGGAAACGAGTAGCTGACGTCACAAAAAGGGCTTATGGCTTTTTCAAAATTGATGTTACCAATGCAATAAAGCTGAATCAATTGGAAGCTGAAGCTAGTGAAGCTAATGATGCACCATAGAGAAAATCACATAGACTTTCACACTGCTGACCACTAAATTTTCCTGAAAGGAATACTGAACAAGGCAGTGCAAAACACAATGTTCAGAATGAATAAGCTACGCCCTGTCTTATTTTGCGGGAAGAGTTCCAATAAGCTATTGTTTATGTGCACTATCCCTGTGTTGTGTTGCGTGCACATGATGCTTCTTTTTACCAGCGTGGTTAATGCCCTGGTCTCCCCATCGGCATATCCGAAAGATCTGTATCCTGCTAGCTTTGCAGTACTGTGTGTTTCCTGCAAAATTGTGCGTTCGGTTTATCTTTGCCTGTTAAGTACTCCTGCAAAACTGACTTTTTGTTTTCGTAACTTCTACAGTTTCATTGCCACATTTGGAAAGCTTTCTTTGGCCGCGTCATTGCGGTTGTGACCATGGAATGGAAGTGGGTGGTTGGAGGGAGGCTGATCTGATGTAATTCTGTGGTTGAGAATTTTATATGAATTGTGGCGCTTCTACAGCACCTGAGAAGAGTCCTTTTTCTGGTAACTGCTTTGTTTCTAGAATGTCTAATCTATTCATAATCGTTGCTATTGCCTTAGCCACATGGTTCATCATTTCGTCCCGTTTTTCATTTGATTTTTGTATCTCCTCAAAGGTCTTCTGTATATCAGCTAATGTTCCTTCTACCGTCGCATCATCTTCTTTAAAATTTCTCGCCTGAGTCTTGCATTTGAGAGGAGGGGAATCATCCCCTTCGTCCATCTTGTTCTCCGGGATTTCAGTTATTTCTTTTGTGCTCGCATGTGGAGAGGGAGTTACCTGGCTTACCGGGCATTTTTTTCTCTTTTGAGGCTTTTTATTTCATCACTCATGCGTGCTAGCATTATCCTCAGCTGTGTGTTCTCGTGGTCTAGTTCCCTTAACTCATTGGTAATGGCAGTCTTCCCGTCAACCAGCGGACGCGCGCCCTCGACCACGTCTGCCCAGCTCACCTTAAATTTCGGGTCTCCTGTAGTGGACCTAGACCTGGATCGGGATTGGCGTCGTGTCTCCGGTTTTCCGGAGTCAAAATGGGATGAAGATCGGTGGGTCGATGGAGATCTTGATCTCGTGCTCGACCTTATTCTGGACCTGGAGCGTCGTTCCTTTGCGCCTGGGAGACCGGATTTTTCGCGAAAATCAGCTTTCTCTTCTCTTGATGTGAAGCCTTCATAATCTTGTTGTCGCTCGTGTTGTAGCTTTTGCCATTGTCTTTGCTTCAAAATGAAGGGTTTTTTAAATTTGGCCTTGCATGTCCTGTCTGCGGTGGCATCGTCCACACCGCATAGCTGGCACTTGGGTTCGCATCGATGACCTTCATCTGGATTCGGTGTTCCACGACCAGCACAAAGCTTGTAGTCAGGATTGGGACACACGTCTCCCCAGTGTCCAAGTCTGTTGCATTTGCGACAGAAATCCACTTGTTTGCGGTTCAGTGAGCATCGGAGCAGAGCTGCCTTGTATCGGACAAACATGGGCATGCACTTTGTGTCCGTCAAAGAGCACAATCACTGTGGTAGTGTTACTGAGTCTCTTCGCTGCTATCGCCTATGGATTTTCGGTAGTAACTATAGCTGCTGTGATGTCTCTTGGACTCTCTTGGAGTGGGATTCCTTTGATGACTCCTTTGGCCGTCATCTCCAGCGTTGTCTTGTAAGCATTTGTCTGGTAAAACTAGTCTTGAACTTTGATACCTTTTATAGTCTGATATTCGTTGGCATGCTCCTGATGCGGTGTACTGGCGATCAGGACATTTTGATAGTTGTTAGGGCAGATGATATCCTCCTCCCGTTCCTCTAGAGGGATCCGCCGCATCTTGTACCGCCGCTGTTTGGTTAATCACGCCGTGCTCAGATATTTTGATTCCTCCAGTTGGTCTGATCACAATGTTATAATCCCCTCTTGCAAATGTGGCATCTTGCTTGCTTTGCATATTCGGGCTAGTATTCCTTTTTTGGGTGCATTGTCGCGCTCGACAGGCCGCGTCGTCGACAAGTTGCTCTTGTGATGTTGGGAGTCTTGCCGAGTTGACCTCTTTCCATCCCTTGCTCTTATCCAGTTCTTCTTCTATGATGCTGTGTCACTCTATGGTGACTTCCATTACTGTGAGAATTGTGATAATGTTCAGCAAGCGTTTAGAAACTTGGCTCCACAGAACGCCAGCTGCGGCCGGAAAGTTCCAGGAAAGGTGGGTCGCTGTTCACCAGACGCGAGGGTGGGCTGCCGACGCAGCATCAGCGGGAACGTTGGCGGCGCGCCTACGGGCGCGGGGCCGGGCTTCCTGCTACGCGTTCCGGGCACAAAAACGGCCGTATCTTCGTGACAATCGAAATGCTCACCTGGAGCTTCATGTACACTGGTTCCTGGAAGTGTGCTCGTTCTGCTGATGTAGAATATCTGATGATGCTTGGTGATTTTCGCCACGAAAACATGCGAAAACCGCGAAGCTCACGTGATGTGCATCCGCTCACTCCGGCGATCGCAGCGCCTCTCAAGGGAAAGTTGGCACAAATTCTTACCAGGCATTAATTCATACACAGATGTGGCGAGAGTCTGGAACATGGTTGGTAAGGTGGCAGGACAAAAAGCACATTCACTTCCTCTATTGAACACACAAAGGGAGAGTTAGAAAGACCAGGCTAACACTCTCGGAGGGCACTTCGAACAGGTCTTCAGCTCATCACACTATGGTGAAGCGTTCCGACGATACGAAATCAAAATAGAAAAACAGAGATTAGAGCGCAAACCCACAACACATGAAGCATACAATGAACCGTTCTGTTTGGCTGAACTACGAGCCTCATTTACCTGCTGCAATAAATCTACCCCAGTCCGGGACCATGTGGCATATGAAATGTTAAAATACTTGCCCACTGAAACCCAGAAAGCTCTCCTCTCCCTGTATGATGTGATATGGTATCCCGGCGAGCTATGCTCAGCCTGGAAGGAAGCTATCGTTATTCCAATTCTAAAACAAAGCAAGGACCCTGCCCAGCTACAGGCCAATAGCATTAACCATTTGTCTTTGCAAGGTCTTTGAGAAAATGATTAACAGGTGCCTGAGGCACTTCCTTGAAATTAATGGCCTACTTGAACCATACCAGTGTGGGTTTCGAGAGGCTCGCTCCACCACTGACCACCTTGTCCGTATTGAGGCACAAATTCGCGACGCTTTTATTCATAAGCAATTTTTTCTTTCTGTGCTCCTCGATATAGAAAAGGCATATGACACTATATGGCGCTTTGGCATATTGCGAGACCTGTCACATTTAGGTGTGCGGAGTAGAATGCTGACAATTATCGGAAGCTACCTGTCCAACCACACATTCCATGTGCGAGTTGGCACTCTCTTATCTCATATATTTGTCCAAGAAACAAGAGTGCCACAAGGGGGTCTATTGAGCTGCACACATTTATTAGTTAGAATGAATTCCTTGCACCTGTCTCTCCCACGCAATATTTTTTACTGCATTTATGATGATGATGTGCAGATTTGTTTCAAATCTTGCAGCATCTTAATGTGCCAACGTCAAGTTCAACTAGGGTTAAACAAGGTATCGCAATGGGCAGATGAAAATGGTTTTATACTCAACGCGCAAAAGAGCACTTGCGTCTTGTTCTGCCGAAAGAGGAGCTTCCATCCTGACCCCAACATTGACCTGCATGATTAACCTCTGTCAGTGAAGACCGAGCACAAGTTTCTTGGACTAATATTAGACACAAAAGTAACCTTCATCCCGCACATCAAGTATTTAAAATATAGGTGCTTAAAAACAATGAATATTTTGAAAGTGTTGTCACGCACCACGTGGGGCAGTGACAAGAAATGTCTGATGAATTTATATAAAAGCCTCGTACGCACACGCCGAGATTACAGTACTATGATCTATCAGTCGGTGACACCATCAGACTTGAAGATTCTCAACCTTGTCCACCATCTGGGCATTTGCCTCTCTACGGGTGCTTTTCAAACTAGCCCTGTAGAGAGCCTGTTTGTGGATTCGAACTAATGGTCGCTCCACCTACAAAGATGTTACCTGGCTTTTTTGTACTTTCTGAAGGTGAAGGCAGACAAGAAACACCCCTCTCATTCCACAAATAATGATTTGTCTTGTTCTGGCTTGTTCAAGAACCGTCCTTTGTTAAGGCAGCCCTACTCGCTTCGTGTATGAGGCCTGGCCGAAGAAACAGGCGTGCCTCTTTTCGAACACAGTTTGATGGCTCCTGCAGCATATCTGCCACCGTGGCAGTGGCAGCTATCTACTGTGATGTCTCTTTTGTTGAAGTCACAAAGCACGCACCACTTGCACACATACATACACACTTCCTAGAACTACACCATCAATACACATGCCCCGAGTTCTTTACCAATGCCTTAAAGTCGAACACTTCTGTGCCATATGCAGCGGTAGGCCAATCTTTTTCCGAGGCCGGCGTTCTTCATCCTGATGCAAGCATTTTCACAGGAGAAGCTTATGCAATACTGGCGGGCGTAAAACACATCAAACAGGTAAAATTACAAAAGGCGGTAATACACACAGATTCCCTAAGTGTGGTTAAAGCCCTGAAAACTTCTAAAAGAACACAAGAACCTCGTGCTGGTGTCACTTTACTCACTTCTGTGCCCACTGTACACATCAAAACAGCATGTCGTCTAGTGGGTGCCAGGGCATTGTGAAATACAAGGGAACGTTTTGGCTGACAAGCTGGCTGCTTCTGCCAATGACACTACTTCCAATGCATCAATACCAATCCCTGCACTTGACTTTAAACCTTTTCTAAAATGAAAGCTCGGGGGGTATTGGCAGAGCAGGTGGCATATAGACACAGACAATAAACTCCATGCAATCAAGCCGCAACTAGGTAATTGGCCGCCACTATCAAAATCATGACACACAGAAGTAAAACTTGCGAGGCTCAGAGCAGGACATATGCACTCTACACATTCATATCTTTTTTCCACCGGTAATCTACCATTGTGTGAGAGATGTTGAAAACTACTTAGGGTTCTCTACATTCTCGTCCAGTGCAATGAGTTGAATGCTTTAAGAAAAAAGCACTTTTTACTGCCCTAGCAACAGCAGCTCCCACTACACCCTGGGATGCTCATCGGTGGAAATCCGCTTTTTGAACTGCAATCACTTTTCACGTCCTTAAAAAATGTTCATAGCTTTCACCCCATATTTCGATGTGATCCGTAGCATGACCTCTGTACCGTGGTCATCGCTGCGGTGACTACATCTCCGTCTTGGTTTTATTATCATGACTTTTTGCCGTCCACTTTCACTGCACATATCTCACACCACTGTCGTGGTTTTATTACTTCTATGTTTTTACCCACTTTAGCGCTAGGAATCTTAAGGCCCATTACAGTCACGCATCATATCATTGTACATATCTCTAGTCTATTGAAATGGCACTCTTCGGCCATCGATTGGCCCTTGTGCCATTAAGTACCACTCATCATCAACCCTTAAGCTTGGCCTTTAAGAGTTGAACACGATAGTGAAATCTAGCCCCTAGTGCACCCTTCAACCGCTAAGTGCATACCTTTTCATATGTTTTGTTACATGCACACACATGCACACAAACACACACACAGTAGATCGGGCCAGCGCGCGCTATTAGTGCTGAATCAGCTTGTTTTCGTCGTGACACCTGTCGAAGTAATTGTGTTAAAGTGGCCCTGAAACACTTTTTGTAGTAACCATGAAATGAATTCACTAGAAGAGCTTATTGCCTGACGAATTCAACGCCGCAATAATTTTGAGATTTCGTCCAATGCAAGTGGAGTTACAAAGATTTGTCGCATGCTGTAATCGCATTATCTCTTCTCTGGTCCCGACGAAAGCACTGGAAGCTAAGCAAGGAGGGGTGGCGGGGCAAAGAAATTACCACGCCTTGGGACCTTGAGCACGTTTTTTTTTTTTTTTTTCTTCGAATGCACCGTTTTTTCAGTGATAGCCCGCACATGTGTGAACATGTAGCGGCCTTCTACGGCTATCTCGGTAACTTGATTTTTCGGTCGCAGACTCACAGACGATTTTTCGCTCACAATCATAGGGTCGACGCCGGCGGCAAGTCTTCTGCGACACGAGCACTTTAACGCTATCGCCTTAATACTAAGAGCTAGACGGCTAGTGCGAATGCTTACAGCACGCTGCTTGGCAGGCACCAATCACTTTTCAAAAAGTCGTCTGCTATGCAAGAGCAACGTAGGTGGTGCCATGTTTGAAAAGAGAGTGCAAATGAGAGGAGACCGAGGAGGAACGAGAGTGGAGGAGGAAAGTGTCACTACTTCACGAAGTTTTAGGGGCTTTAGCCGCCACGTGCTCACTGCGGCATTTTGCCGATAATGCTGAAAACATGATAGTTTCCCCTCTCCCCGAGAGGCCCGTCAACAGCAGTAAGTGGTAGATATGAAGAGTTTTGCCGTTTGAACGTTGAAGCAGGTACCTCTCGGTGACACAGTGATAAATGCCTCACATTAACAACGCGAAGGTCCCACGTTCGATTCCGCCCGCCGTAGTCTGTTTTCTGGGATCTTTTTCTTTCTTCATTTTTATATATATAGATACTTATACATATACAGTGCGTTACGTCGACGCCAACGCAGGGAACGAAATCGAGTCGAGAGTGTCCATAAAAGTGCTATGGCAATGAAATCTGATCAGCAGTAAATGGCCAATAAACTTGTGGACCTTACACCTCTGCTTTTTGTTCATTGTGTGCAACTAAGGTTCAAAAATACATAAAAATTTTAAAATGTCATAAAATCAATGCCTAATCACAATGTGTGGTGTTACCTCACCCAGAGTCATCTATTGCGAACCTATAATATATCAAACTTTTTGATAATTAAAACAAAGTTCAGAAGTACTTTTGAGTTTGAGTTAACGAGAGTCGACCATATTTACAGAAATGCACAGAGGTTGGCTCGAGCGATAGTGTGCTCTAGCCTGTGACGTCCATGTTTGGTCGATATTATTTCACGACTCTGCGCTGCCTGAAAGTAGGTAACGAAAGGTCAACTCATGCATCACCCCATCTGTGTCATTCTCTTTACTGTTTGTCGTTTCGTGAATTTCCTTCACTAGAAGGTCGAGATATGGAGTTCCAGTCTCGGCAACCGCATGTTTTCAGAGGTGACATGCTCTAGGCCTGTGTAAGTGGATTCAAGTGTACGGTAAAGAACAATGGTCAGTCAAACTTGCCAGAACTCATTACTATGGCATTTTTGTAATTATATATATTTATTTATTTTTATTTATTCATTAATTTCAAAAGTACTACCAGCCTCTCATCAAGTCTGTGACAGGGCGGGTAATACATAAAATTAAACACAGAAAAATACAAAAGAAATGTCGCGCAGAAAAACTAATAGATCAAATGAAAACGTTGGCACTCTTACACTTCACATGTTTTAAGCGTACACACCCAAGAAATAGACTAAGAAGGAAATAACAATAAAGCAATGATCACAAACATCTATCTGTTAAATGCCTAACATCTGAAAAGTAAACATCTTATAAAGGGGGCAAGATTAGCATTACCCATACATGTTGATGACTCGGGTAAACGTTATGTTTGACATGGAAACATTTTAAGTACATACGAAAAAGGGACATAAAACCTCACTAATTATCTTATCGTGAGTACTTATCAAGTATAAACAGTCACGAATATCTATGCACAGTATGCAAATATTCATTGGGGTAACGCACTCTTCATGTGGCGGGTCATCTTTTTCACCGACAGTACCCAATGAGAAATGCCCGGATGGCAACAAGTGTGACGACGAGCAGACATGCTGCCAGCTGCGTAGTGGCTCGTACGGTTGCTGCCCCTACCACCATGCGGTCTGCTGCGACGACAAGGTCCACTGTTGTCCAGAGGGGTACAAGTGCAACGCGAAGGCCGAAAGGTGTATCAACGGGAATCTAAACGCCTCCTCGATGAGCCGAATCATTCAGAAACACATCAGCAGACCCGCAAACAGGATCCTTGTGGACGGTAACGTGTAGTTATAATACATTAGAACGTGTAGCAGCTGTACTAATGGGATGGTTGCCTTGCAACGGTTTGAGACATATTAAATTTTGCCACATGTTGTTAGAATTGGCCTAATTGACCTTAATTGGCCTAAATTTGTCTTAACTAGGGTACTGATATGGCACACCTGTAGGTAAATCCAAACTCTCCTTTGCCAGAATGGTTGCCAGCTAGACAAGGTTCGTACTTATTTTGGCTCTGGTTTCTTTGATGACTTATTTGGTAAATAAGTCATCAAAAAGTGAAAATAGGTGCTTTGTTTCCAAAGTCACTGCCTTGGCTCAGTCGTTCGTTGTTCAAATTTTCATTCGTGCGACTGCAGTCTCAGATCTCTGAATCAGTGTAATGCATAGGAACTGGATATCAGCCTTCTCTTACGGGACAACGGCAATATCAGCAGACGTGACGGTTCTGCTATACTGGCATCAGTCTCATGATGGTGTGAAACGTTGGTTGAGAAGAGTCGCTTTTCGGTCGCTAGGAGCTAATGATCGTGTGACCATGCGGTACCAGTTGCGCGAGGAAATTTGCCTTATATCTTCAAGAGTATAGCTTTTTTTTTTCTTTGCGCATACCTGCCAGCCTGTTCACACAGTGGGGCAGAGGAGGGGGGAAGACGTGATAGAAGAAGACTGCTATACATATTAATTTACTTTTTCTATTGGTTGCAGCAACGTTATATACGATTATCAGAAAAGATTGTAGACGTCGGCGACTATAACAACACTTGTAGATATATGGCACGTGCAGCTGCTGTGCCACTCGAAAAAAAAATGGAGTATTCGGGGAGTAGTTCTGCTACACAACAATAATCGTCATCAGACTTGCTCGCATTTCTTTTTTTGAGAACCTTGCTTGCCAATTTATTGTCGGGAATGCTATGTCACACTGATAACTCGTGCGACGTTCGGGACCACGAACGGCTGAATCGTAGTGATAGCGTGAGGAAAGTACTCGAAGTAGACGACAATTATTGTTGTGTAGCAGAAAAATTTCCCAAATACTCGACCTTTTTTAGAGTGATATGTCCCATAACATTTAGTAGCTTTATGTAAATCATAATGTGCAATATCACGTGTCACTAGTGTACTGCGGCAAAAGCAAAGTAAGTTGCGTTCTGCACTTGATCAGAAAGTCGAAGATGCGATGTCTTTAGTTACTATTAAGGCGAAAGCTTCAATTAAACTGCCAGCATGAACTATGCTGATGTCAACACAAGTGATGCAATAATCACATGATCTCTGTGCATGATGTCATCATGACTTGGAAGTCACATAATGACATCATCCAATGACATTGTTGCTTGGCTATACCTTGCCATATCCGGAAAGCGTATAAGGTACAGAAGGCTTGTAATTCCTTCGATAGGCAGCGAAAAACAGAGGTAGGCGCAGAAAGCTTTCAGGGGGAGGGGGAGTCAATTCAATTAACTGATAAAAAAAAACAAGATTGATTTCACCTTCGAGTCATCTTAGGAGGGGACTCTGTGAGTTTTTATTTCGTGTTCACAGTGGTGCTTGTGCAGCTTCTCGGGAGATGTATGGCCACGCCATACAATCGAGGGGAATATCGCAAAATTCGAATTATCGGGGCAACACGAGGCAGTTGGCAGTGATGCCTGCAGAAACTAGTGGCTGACGTCACAAAAAGGGCATATGGCTTTTTTAAAATTGATGTTACCAATGCAATAAAAGTGAATCAATCGGAAGCTGAAGCTAGTGAAGCTAATGATGTGCCATAGAGAAAATCACATAGACTTTCACCTCGCTGATCACTAACTTATCCTGAAAGGGATACTGAACAAGAATTGGAAAAACTGACGTAAGTTCAATATTTGACTCTGAAGATGCCATTGTTCGAATTGCGCCGCAGCTGGGGGTAAGCGCTAGTCGTGGCGTGACTCACCGAGGAGTATGCACGTGTTCTTGTCCTCTTTCTTTCTTCCACCTCTCCTTCCTTCCCACTTTGTCCCTTCCACAAATGCGCTGGTGTTTTGTCCCAACTGGCAGCATTGTTCGTTGCTGTTGCTGTTTATATCGGTTCCGGAAACCAAATTGGGAGTTGAGTGAGTCGACAGATGCGGACGACGGCTGGCATTGTTGACTTGCCCGTTTTGGGTGTGTGACATCTTGAAACGTCACCTTCTCTAGTTCACAGTATAGCTGATGGACGCAGCAGTTTACGAAAAACGCATTAACTTCATTATTTTTCCTTAAATTTTGCTTGGATTGAAGGTTGTCTTTATCGATTTCAGGGCCCAATTTTTCAGTTTGGCTGGAAATCTTGGCAGCAAAAGTTTTGTTCGGTATACTTTTAAATATCGCAAATCTTCCCATGGTTCGGTATTTGGCTGGAGCACCGGGACGTACATTCAAGCTGAGAGTCCTGAGTGATACTCTTGAAAGGATCTGCCACCTAAGGCCAGCTATAATTATTAGAGGACATTAAGAACATTCATCAAAGTAGGCCACAGCTCATACACTTTCTACTGCTTCGGAATTTTAAGAACCTATATGTTAAGATACGAATTGATCCCTGCTAAACTGTTACTCACACGGGCTCTAAATAGTTCATGATGGAAGCACGCATAAGTTGAATTTATTATTTGATTGTATTTGCGATGTACAAACACTGTTCTTTCTTACTCTAAAGTTTAACTATGAACCAACGTAAAGCTGGGAGCTGACAGGTAAAACTGTGAACAGGAACAGGTGCATCAGACAAACTGGCTGACGTTTTCATAGATGTTTTTATCTTTGACGAAGGCGCGACTTTCCATTGTTGGTGTGTTAATTTTCAGAGGTTTAGTGCTTACGTCACGTCACCTCGTGTCGCCGCCAACAATTGCTGCTGACAGAAACATGGTGTGACATCAACGACGAAGGAGTTTTAAAACTGACACGCCAAAAATGACATGACTTCACGACGCAGAGTAAGTCTAGAATAAGACGGAAGCTTGAAAGGACGAAAAATCTGTGAGCACGGGATGTAGCTATAGAGCAAACGTTTCAACAGGTGGTCTTCAAGACTACAATTGCTTACTTTATCGTGCGAGTGCTTATGCCTCATACACTTTCCCCAACCAAAACAGCAGAGGAGGAGGAAAGCTTGAGGACAGGACAGAGCCTTTCCTGTCTTATAGCATTTTATTCTCATCTAATTTCTTTGCCCATCTTTTTAGCTGCGAAGCAGCTCTCTGACTAGCCCATGTAACGCTGTCTCGTGCATCTGTATGAACCCCCTCGCCGCAGGTGTTGGAGCGGTGCCAAGTAGATCAATTCGTAGCTGTGCATTAACGTCACTCTCTCCCTCACCTGCAGCAGCTTCCGTATGCTCCGCTTGCTCGCAACACACTTGCCTTTCGCTTAACTGTCTCACCACCCGCAACGCTTGAGCGCACGTCGAGTGATAACACTAGACAGATTTAGTTGCACGCCTGCAGGAGCCGTACGAACGCTGCCTGCCATTGCGAATGACTTGCAGGCTGCGTCCGAATGGCTGCTGTGAACGTGTGACTAAATTTGTCTACTATTTCGACTCGTTTCTCTGTAATGAAACTTTCACGAAGCCTAACTTATAACTTACCTCCTGTGTCTTTGCCTTTAACACAAGCGTTTACTCAAGAAAACGCTACACCGAGTTTTGCTTCAAACTGTTCTTCCAGCAGCCACGTCGACACCTGTTTCAACCGATCAACGCTGTGCGTACCGCTGCTTCTTCCCAACCCATCAGGGTTACTTTCAGAGAGAAGGTTTATAATTTTTCACAAATATATTGTTGGGAGTGACATCTTCGCGCATCTTTGTTTCAATATTTTTAATTTTCTTTCGTTCACCCATTTCGGCACGTTAGCACTCCGCTTCCCCCCTCTTTCTTTTTTCACTTTCGCTCTCTCCTTCTCTTATGTTTTGGTTGGAAGAGAGGATACAAAGCATGCACATACATGCCCTAAGATAGGCAACTGCTATCTTCAAGAAGACAACACATTTGTCGAAGGGTTTGATATAATGACACCCCATGTAAAACGATTCTTCATCGCTTCAAGATACATTATATGTATTCATGACAGGTTCACCTAGTTTGCATACATTGTACAACCTGTCTAAGGCACCTACCGTATTTACTCGTTTCTACCGCGCCCTCGATTGTAACGCGCACCCGATTTCCACCGCGAAAAAAAAAAAAAAGACATTGATTGCAACGCGCACCCATTTTTTCTCGCTGGCCTGCACGATCACACCACTCGAAAAAACGACTGCTTTCGGGAGCTTCTTCCATTTAAATATGAGGTACGGGCGAAGCTTGTGCCCATCCGACGTGTAACAGAGCATTGCCGTCACTGTAGTTTTACCCTGGACCGATGTCAGCACGCGAACTTGCTTCGCCCCCTTCTTCTCGACGGTTGTGGTGCCAGGCATCTCGAAGTAAAGAGGCGTCTGATCAGCATTCCCGGTTTGCCCAAGCAGGTAGCCGTTCTTGCGCCGCAAGTTTAGGACGAACCTCTGAAAGCTGTAAAGCTTTTCATCGTACTCCTCAGCAAAACTTTTCGCATATGCATGTTCCCCTTCGGAGGTAAAAGCCTTTCCTTTTCATAAAGTTAGTTAGCCAGCACCTGCTCGCTTTGAACTGGCTCCGCATTAGACTTTTTTCTAAGACTAATTGCACAGCCCGCACTTGGAGCAGTTCTGTCGTCACGGGCCGCTGTGCCGCTCGCTGCTCAAGCACATACTCGCCGAGCAGCTCTTTAATTTGCGGAAACCAACCCTGCTGTGGTCCACTGAAGCCTTTGCGTGAAGCTTTGCTGTCGACAATCTTCTGCTTTTGTTTCCGCCGGTCCCGCACGCACGTTTCGGGAACTCCGAACAACCGCGATGCGGCCCGATTTCCGTCCGTTTCTGCACACGCGATGACTTTTTTTTTAAAGCGGCATCGTGGTGCACTCGAGTTTTTGGAGTCGGCCCTTCCAAGCCGTCGATGCTAATGCACTACTAGATGACGAACCCCTCAGTACACGTACGAAGTGCCGCACATGAGAAACACATAGGCAGGAATGGCCGACGCGCCGTGTCGACGCACATAGGGGGCGGCCATTTTGGATTTGCCGATGGCAATAGATTGACTGCAATTTTTTGGTTCGTACTCGATTCTAACGCGCATGCGATTTATGAACCCGCTTAACCGGAAAAAAGGTGCGCGTTAGATTCGAGTAATTACGGTAACCCATGTTAGTACAAACTTTGAGCCAGACACGTGAAAGGGTCAGCTCGGATCACGTCAAGTCGACTTCTGAATTGATTCCTGCGACTCCGATTGGTGTATCCACTGCAATATTTGCGCAACATTTCCATGCATGCATGAATTAAGAAGCAGCCGGCCAGCCGTCCCGGTCTCCATCTTCGATAGTGTGTCCAGGAGGGAGGACCACTTGCCCGAACAGCGCCAAGTGCTGCCTGTGGTACGACAAACTGAACTGGTTCTGCTGTGCTTACGTGAACGGGACATGCTGCAGTGATGGAACATTTTGCTGCAAGCCCGGCTTTTACTGCTTTGTGCCGACGCAGAGCTGCATTCCTTTTGGCGAGCGTGCACCGAGCATTGCGGTTGACGCCGCGAAATATCGACGGGGAGGATTCATCGCGAAGGAGCATGCGCGCGTGTAAGTGACACCCTTAACGGAAATTATCGATGAAACATCCGATAATTGCCATAAGCTCGCACCAGGTTCATCTAATATTTTATAGCGGATATCAGAAACAGCCTCAGCGTGAATACCAATGGAATTTCAGCATTCGATTTTTTTGCCGATTCTCTTGGCACGCCCGTTATAAACCGGCATCACTTGTGTAAGAGCATGATCGCGGGTTCGATCTCTGCCGAGACAGTCACATTTCAATGGAGAATTAACAAGTGCTAGAAGCTGGTACAGTGCGTGATGTCAGCGCACATTAAAGAATACCTGAAGGTCGAAATTTCCGGAGCGCTTCACTACGGCGTTTGTGATAATCATATCGTTGTTTAGGGACGTAAGAACCACAGATACTAAACTAGTAAAAATGCCACGGGTCCTCATAAATTAATTTTTTAGTTTACCGATGTCATTCCTTCAACATCATGATTTCAAAAAGAAGTGACAATTAACGAAAAAACGACACGGACCGTTTTTCACTTGCCCAAGACGAATTGAAGACATACACCATCTTCTCTTTTTCATTTTTGCTCAGTCAAATGCGTTGATGATAGGCAATAGTCGATTGTATTGTGGGCAGGTGTAAAGATTTCAAATAACATTCCTACAACCTACGATCGACACCTTGCATGGCCACTGCCGTCTAGACGGGGGGGGGGGGGGGTTGATGCTGTTGCAATTGGCCTTTTCAGCCACAGTTGACTCGGGATGAAGATGTAGAGGCTGGAGAAAGGTGATCTTTACATTGGAGCGGTTTATTTACATTCTGTACATGGTGAGCCCTCTCTCAAATGCGCTCGGTTGCTCATTATAAAAATGTACGTTATTTCCAGATCCTTAGATCAGGAAAAGGGCTTAGATTGCGCTGCTCAATGGCAGGACAAAGGCATCACATCCGATGGTGATGCCCACAGCTGCCCAGGTGAACGTCTACTACTGGGGCGTGGCCCTTCACTGCACAAATCGCACCAAGGGGGTTCTTCGTTGTTGTGTGAATTCTGCTGGGTGAGGGTTCCTACGCTTGGATGACAGGGTGCATCGAAAGGGTCCGCCGCAATGAAGTTGAAAGGGTGCACCAAACTGTGCGCTCAATCAGCGGGACGAGTGGTCATCGGGGCTGACGCGGCTGTCCCTTCCAAGGAAGTGGTTGCATTCGTGGAAACGTACCATTGTGGTCGTCTTGGGGAATTGTCTACAGCATCTGACGGCACGGCACCTCGCTTTCCGGCTAGAAAAGACAATACACCATGGACATCACTCCGGCAGCCTTTCGGCGGCAACTTCTGTGATGAAGAAATAATGCCGCTCCTCTGTCGGTCCTGGCGCCGATCGTAACACTGTGCACTTATTGTGTGTTAGGCAAATCAACGCCACAGAAACTTTCAACGCCTATTGGCTTTAGTTTGTCGCCGAGCATGACTAACACTGCACTTTCAAGAGCTTCTGATGGAGAATATGAATTTCAGATTATATGTCTGATGCTCAGGCGATCATGAAGGATGGCACCATCAATATTACATTGTGATAGAGAGATAGATAGATCAAATTGCCGTTGGTATTCTAAGAAACGCATCGCACTTAAATTTGTTTATCGAATAGAGTTGATCACTGTTCTTCAATCTCTTGTTCTGCCTACAGAAGTGAAAAGAACCTGCTCCGACGGCAGCACATGCCCGGACTTCGCGACCTGCTGCAAGTCCCCTAACAACACCTACTCCTGCTGTCCATTCAGCGTGGCCACCTGCTGCGCGGACGGCTACTGCTGTCCCAGAGGTTTCGTGTGTGACGAGGCTAGGCACATGTGCACACTCAGGCGTCGCCCTGAAGACCTGCCGTACCTTAATTAATGATACCCCGAGCTACGACAAAGTTCTAAGTGATCTAATCATTCTTAATTATAACTTGTAGAGGTCCACATAGGTGCCAAACTCTCTGAACGAGGTCGTGATGATCCCGCAGTTTATTTCTTTCGTTGTTTTTTTTAATGACTACTTATGCAAGAAGCATGTCTGAGTTAAGAGTCGCCGTTGTGTGTTCTGACACTTTAAATAAAAACGAGTTCTTTTTCTACGTTGGTGGAGTGATGAATTTACATGAGCATGTCTTATCCTCGCGGTACTTACATTGGAACCATGCAGCTTCTGTGGTTCCGACAAGGAACAGAGGAAGGGAGGAACGGGAGGGAATGGAAAGGCAGGTATGTTAACCAGTATAGGAGGACAGTCATGCTATCCTCCTACACGGAAAAAAGGGACTTGTCTATCTCTTTGTCATCTAAACGACCAGTTTGTGGAAATGAATTCACCAGGCGCATATCACTGAAAATCACTGCTGGTGACTGAGCGTTGGTTGGTTATTTGTTTAGCCATGTGCATGAAAAAATAAAATTTCAGTTGAGTAAAGTGACGTCCTTGTTCGTAATCCCTTTGTTCCTCATGGTCAGTTCCCTTGCTCGAACCAGTGTTACCTGTGGTATCTCCCGTTTTACGGATGTGATGTGTCACGGAAGTGACGCATGAAATCCTGACTCCACCCCTCCCCACAAACCAATCATATTTTGCCACCTTTAGCATGCGTCACAAACACACTCACCTAAATTTGAGCTGACTTGCTCAATCTGCTTGTTTAATTTTCATCTGCTTTAACCAAGATTATTGCTGTAGTTACAATGGCATACGCAATAACTAAGCATAGCTCTGCCGTAAGCTGGCATCTAACACATTCGTATATAACAGAGGCATGGTATTACCATCCTTCTAGAAGGTGAAGGGGTATCGCATTCCGCTGACATGTAACTGCATGTATATTGGTCAAACAGGTCGCTGTATTAACGGCTGCTCTCGCGAGCATGGATTCAATGTAAAAAACAAAACGGGTTCGTTGATGGTGCTCCAGTGCAAAATATGTGGTTGCAAACCTGAACTTCAACTATGGTTTCTGTGTCGATACACTACCTACAGTGTACTAGCCCTACAGTCAACTCTTTTAGACATCCGCAAGATTGCGCAGACATGTCTCCTGTCTTCTCATTCGTGCTGGTGTATCAGCATAGCGCAACAAAATAACAGAGCTTCTTTGTTCAAGCACACCTCATGACATTTTCCCAAATAATCCTTCGGAACACTGGGCAGTAAAAACTCAAAAACAATATGTCCCACCGAGCACGTTTCCTTCTCGGCAAAGGCAGGAAGAGGCAAAGCCACACTGCAAGCTTATCAAAGGAAGAAGTGTGGTATGCATTTCGGAAACGAAACCTGATTTATAAATAAACGCTCCTTCCTTTTCCTACATATCTACAAAAACCACATAACTCAGCTTTTTGGGTAGTAGTCTCGTTTTAGCGGCTGTAGATATGACACATTCCAAATTTATTGAAGATTGTATTGGATAGCATTGCGTCGTGCACTTATATCTGCAGGGCATGGGCAATTGAAGCGGTGGGAGAAGTAAGAGGGGGGGGAGGGGTGAATAAAAAGCAATTTTTTAATAACAGATAAAGAATAAAATTGGTGGGACATTAATGGTCCTGCTATGTTTTCTAGATTTCGGAAAATACCATGGTTGCTGATAATCATCACATGCTGTGCACCCCTTTTATCCCAATTAAACCTTTTAGACTACCTAATAAACAAAATAATCTTCGTTAAAGGTATTGTGAAACCTTCGGAACACCCCGGGACGCTGGCTAATGCAATGAAACTGATAATAACGCGTATTATGCACTGCGCTCAGTGAGCAAGGAGGTTTCAGAAAGCAGCAGTGCACACGATCACAACCTGCCAACTAGTTATTTTCACGCTAGGGAACAAGCACGATCAGCCGGCCCAGATATCACTTCTACTTGAATTTATGCGGAATTCCAAAACATGCACACAGAGAAATAAAGAAACGTTTATTAACGCTGCCGTCTGAAGCGGCGCAAGAGCTGCTTCGGAAATGCATGCCTTTTATTTCGACGTTTGACGAGCCTTGGCGCTTGTTCAATCTATAGTCTGCGTGTTTCGATATTGGCTAAACATCTCAGGCCACAAATGCTAATGATTACCCGTTCTAGCGCGCACTGACTTTGGTTTCAGACGTTCGCGAGATTCATCGGAAAAAGAGGCGCGTAGTTACCAGCACCTGTAGGTGGCGCGAAGAGCGTTTCAATATGGCGCGGAAAAAGTGGTGATGGAGGCTACCCGAAAGCGTGCGCGTCTCGAGAATCGGGTGGCTTTCGGGCCTCGGGTATCTCTAAGTTCCATCGTTGATCTTAACGAGGAAACACAGAGATGTATTGTAGAAGGAGAGGCAGCGTTTAACGCTGGTCACGTCGCATGTTGTGGAATACGGGAAACGACAAGCGCGGCCGTCCATTTTGAGTCCCTCTGCCTGCAAACAAGCGCTATTAAGGGCCCGCCGCATACCATAAATGTTGGAGTCTGCAACACAACCGGTGCCGCAAAGGTGAGTATTTCTTACTACGTTTTGCAAACTCTGTACGATATGCGAGAATTCAGAGCGAACAGCGGTAGCGTGGGTGTAAACAAAGCGCCACACGTGTATTTATGGCGAGATGTATGGTAAAAGCGCCACACGTGTATTTATGGCGAGATGTATGGTAACCCGCGCCGGCTTAGGTCGAAAGTATTGTTGAAAATAGTCGAGTGACACGGATGCAGTGAAACAGGAGTACTTTAGGAGATAGGAACACTACACATGCGATTGCTCGTAGCCCGTCCTTCGCCATGGCTCAGCACGACTATGACGCGCCCGCACCAACCTACCGTCATCGTCTTCCGGCTTCCGAAAAATTCCACGTGGTGGCGCTAGCTGATCTGCACATTCTATTGGTGCAGCCATATCAATCCATCCATCTATTCAATGCTGTTGCTTCTCGAAACCCTCGAGACGGCGCGCGTGTAGTTCTAGCCACCTTTCAAAAAACAAAAGGAGCCTTCTATCACAATGCGCGTGCTGAATTTTTGTAGAATTTATATCAGTTTCGCCCATGACCGTTGGGTCACTGTCTCCAGTTTAGCCGAACCGTTGCGCCCAATTAAGGAAGAAATACACATTACCAATCAGACTCACTGCAGATGGTCACGTGATGTGTCTGCAAAACAGCGCACGAGATTGAACGGCTCTGCGTTTAGCGACACAGCGTCATCTTGCCTTCCTGCTTGTGGGCCATGTTTTCGCTGCTCACTGCCAACCACACTGTGACTACCTATGACACCAGGCCTCGGAAAGTCTCAAGTTCCAGTCATCGTAGAAGGGGTGACAAAATTGACCCCACTGCTGTTAAAAACACACACGCACACACAGTGCCGCATTTCAAATCTTGCCTTCGTGAACGCGAAGTCTTCCGCTAGACGTGCCGTAATAAGTGCAATATTTGAAGTGAAGATAACCATCATCTCCGCAAGAAACGGCTGTTACCTACATGATTGAAATGTTTCATTTCAATTCCGCGTTGTGCGCAGTACTTATGAGTACTAAATCTGTGGTTTAGCGATCGCGATAAGATTCAGGGATGCAATGACGCAGCGATGTCATGTGCCCTATGCTGTGCTATTCTTATCATCCACCCAGTGCTTCCTCTTTTTTTTTTTTTTTTTCAATGCCAGCAAGATGCACCTGATCCAGCCGTCATTGGGGAGAGAACCCTTCATGCAGTGCCTCACGTTGGGAATCGTATGAAGTGATTTTTAGATGCGGAGCATCTTATACTCGCGCCTTGTAGTGCGCCGTCCGCACCGCTTCTCGAACATTCGACAGCTGACGCGCGCGCATGCGCCGTCGCGCCGTCGCCCACTCTTCCACCATCTGTGCATCCCTTCCTCCTCTACACACCGCGCGCGCTTCACTCCTCCACCATCTGTGCACCCTTCCTCCTCTACACACCGCGTTCGACATCTACAATTCTCCTGATTCTCCAGTGGACGCGCATGTGGCGTCGCGCTTCGAGAACATTCAACAGCTGACAGTGCATGCGCCATCGTGCTGTATATATACTCAAGGTCGGCGCTCGCTCGCTCAGTTGCCGCTCGTCGGTTGGTTTGTACGGCGCGTCGACGTCCAAGGTCGCGGTGAAATGAATTCCAACGAATCCACAAACACAATGATCGACGTCCCTTCGACCAGCGCCGCCCTTTCGCATACGTGTGTACGTGTTCACTCATTTAACACCCCCTCCTACAACCACGTTAACCAATTTAGCCATCGACCCAAGTAAGTCGCAATTTAACACCCCATTTCACAACCACGTTAACCAATTTAGCCATCGACCCAAGTAAGTCGCACTTTAACAACCCGTTAACCAATTATATGGTCCGCATCCTCCTCAGTGTTCCCCCGAGGGAAGCTGCGGGCAATTTTTTTGTTCATAGGTGTGCAGATCCCAAGGGCGGAGTCTTGCATTCCTCGTGTTCACGATGTTGGCGGTCACGGTGTTTTAATACAGTGTGTCACCGTTCGTGGTGCTATGTATGCGGGCAACCAATAGGAAAGTCACTGCAACGCTACTGCACTGGGCTATACTGCATGCGCTGACCTTGAGGGCGCTGTGGTGCGGCGGCGGCAAGAAGAAAGGAGCACGAAGGAACGAATCTGGCAAACGTTTTACGTTGGAGTGGGACACGCGTCTGTCGCATCTCCGGGGAAAGCGCTCGGACGCACGTGTGACGCAGGCAGCGCTACCTATCACGTAGCGTCGCATCACGGCCACTTACTGAACTAAGGTGGACCGACGGCTCCCGTTGAGAAGCACGCGTTTGCACTGGCATTGAAAGACATAAAAGGAGGCGACGATCCACCACTCGCGGCTGGCTGGTCACGTCGATAACGAAAAACATCCATCGGGAAAGACATCGTTCCGCGATTGCACCCAAGCAGACGTTCGCACGTTCCACATCATCGACCTGCCATATCATTCCTACAGTGGTATCTCTTATCAGTGGCGAAGCGGAAAATCTGCGCCTCCGCCGTTCGGCGGGAGCATCTGACGCGCAGATACGCAGTTAGTTTTCATCCGATAGGTGGCGTGATCTGCTGCGTTCGCGTTTCTTCCGAGCATTTTTTTTTTTTTTTAATCCGCCCGAGTAGCCATATTGCAGTTAACGTATAGGCATTCCCTGTTGTGCAGTGTGATGCCGCAGCAGCTGTCACACCAGTGAAGGCATCGATTTCTGCAGGCTCCACGGCCACGACAGGTAGGCTCGTTTCGTCGATGCGTGCAAACGTGTTATCTTTGGTCGGCGATTTCATTCTGCAGGCCTTGTTGCCGATCTCAGTGTTGCGTATTTGCGTGCTATTATTAGCCGCCCATTTTTTAAAGACCTGAGAGCGCGAGCGTCGACCGCCCCAGTAGATAAGTGGGGTTTAACGGAGCACAGCGGCGAAATGAGCAAGAATACGTGCAA